GCTAGGCTTACCGCACCGTGACGTCACTGCTGGAAGATGGCAGGAGGGAGGGGCTACTATATTTGGGAAAAATGGCCGCTCCCAGACTCAGTGATCGCAACGAAAATTGTTTATTTTTTACTGATTAATGCTAAATTCATTAAATCACTGTGAGCATATTAGTTTTAGGTATAGAGAATGATCCATCGATCATTCCTCGCTGACGGGACTTCTCCTTAAAAGTTGTGCGTTAAATACTTTCAGTGAAACTAGGAAGATGAACCCACATCTGCTGCTGTTTGGCTGCCTGCTCCTTCCAATATTCCAGCTCCTCCTCTACAGATCCGAACTGAGGCGGTTCCTGATCCTCCATCGCCAGCTCGGTCACGGATCACGGCCAGCTCTTCTGTCCTAAACCCAAAGCAGTTCCTGTGAAAAGAAAAAAAAAAACAGACAGAAATGATTCAGGGAAATCTCTCTGATCAGATTTCACAGATTTTGGTCACGGTGGCTGAAGTTACTGTGGGGGAACCACTGAACGGGTTCTGGAAACTAGGAAAAACAGACATTTCCCAGATTTGTCAAACATCTGCTCTCTACGTCGATGGATACGGATTAGGGACTGAGGGCTGGTGGCCAAATACCAAAACAGCACTTAAAAATAAACCGAGACACATCAACCCTGAAGAGAAGCCTCCATGGACTTCATCAGCAGGACAAGTTGTTCTTCCATCATGGGAGGAATGTGCAGAAGGAAAACAAAGCGCGGTCTTTAGACATTTTTACAAATAAAGATCTAATAAAGACAACATAATTACATTGTCTTATTTTGAGTGCATATTTTCTAATTATCTTATTCTAAGAGTAAAAATACTCATTCCACTGACATATGATCTTATTTACCTGCTCAAATTAAGAGTAAATTCACTTAATTAAAAACATTTTCACTTATTTCTAGATCGTTTTTGCAGTGTAGGCTTAAAACTTTCCTTTTTGATAAAGCTTCTAGTTAGAGTGGCTCAGGTTATCCTGAGCTATCTCTATAGTTCTGCTGCTATAGGCTTAGA